AAGAATAAAAGAAGTAAGTAATTTTATGTTATCCCAATTATTTGGAGTTAATAAATTTGAGTAAAGGATGACAAAGCAATAGATCATTTATTAAATTAATATCTTAAAGTGTCAATTTTGACTGGTTGGTTAAAGAAATTATACATAATCACGTTATATGGTATTCGTGAACTGGCTCTGCCGTTTCGTTGCCTTAAAGATGTTTTAAAAAACCTAGCGTGATTTCTACTGTATAAATTAGGCTCTGGTATTCGTGGACTGGCTCTGTCGTCTCGTTGCCGAGGTATTCGTGAACTGGCTTCGCCGTTTCGTTGCCTCTTAGTTAGGACATTAGAAACTAACCAGACAAAAGTTTATTCTACCTCTATAAGAGGAACTTAATAATATATTTTTATATCTACTTGTCTTTGTCGTTCTAAACCCTCGAACCATACGACCCCGATAGAACCACAACATCAGGTTCTCACTATACTCATCGCTCATTTTCATCATTTATATCTTACCAACTTTTTACCGATTTAATTTATATTTTTGAATTATAACACAAACGTGTTTCGTAGCGAATAAATCAATTTTTATACCATTAAAATCGTAGTCTCTTTTGGAATCTTGTGAGATTTACGATTCATTTACCGATTCAGGAGTTGAAAATATGGACTTTATCTTTAAAATTATTTTTCTTTCAGACCCATTGGCACTAGGACGTCATTCGACAGAGCTCGAGTATTTACGTCTCTTTGAAGATCCGTTGCTGTCAAAAGTATTTAATCTTTTCAACGAGCATGAACTATTAGAGAGTTTCGTCGGAATTCTTGAGTTAGATCTAAGCTTAATCATACTTGATCTTTGCTAAGGTCCAACTGTGTACGTTTCATATCCATGAATTACGACTTTTTTCTTAAGAGATGATTCGTCAAAAGAAATCGATTTTACAAGAACACCGTGTATTGGATTGTTTCAATACGATGCATGTGATCTATCAATTTCTTTTACCAAAGGTTTCTCGGATACAGATTTGGTGTACGAACGCTTTGAAATGTCCTTCGGTAAATTTTTACTATTGGATCAATAGCAAACTTGTTATTAAAACAGTTGTCTATTTTGACGGAGGATGACTTTTTAAACGGATAAATAGGTTTTTCTCGCAATCGCTTGAGTTAAGCAAACAGTCTTTGAGTCTTCGATTTCATCATTACAGTTAATTTAAAAAATTAAAAAACTTAAAAGTTTCAACGATATTGGCTTTGAGAATAATTAAGAAGATAGCCGCTTCGAATTAAAAATGTTCAAAAAACTAATGGTATTTGTACATTTTTTTTTGCTTTATAAGAAAAAAAGTGTATTCATAGTAACTATTAACAAGCTTTTTTTAAGCTAACTAATATTTTCTTAATTTTTAAACTACAAAAATTGATTATTTACTTTTGTTAGTAACACATATCAACCAGCATAGAATAAGTCGAGAAACTATTAGTTTTACTATGATATCGATGTAATATACAACTGACAACTTAAAACAAATTGATTTTTTTCATAATATTAAAAAAAAAAAGAATGAAAAGTATTAAAGATCTCTATTATTAATTTTGTAGACAAGTTTTATTTATTAAATAAATAAATGTTGAATTGAGATGTAAATTTTAGATAGTTAAAAGTTGAACATTCAACAGTATCGAATGTTGGAACGGAATATTTTGGTGTAAATAATCACCGTTATTCGTATTCTTATAATTTTTTATTTCATTTCTTTTTTTAATTAATTATACTTTATTTTAGGTGGTATAGTTATACAAGTGGGTAAGGGGTAAGTGCCTTAAAGAACCTACCTTACAAAAATATATTTAAAATATGGTTTCAGTGTTAATTATAAATATTTTATAGTGTTCAATATCAATCCAATAAGTATATTACAAAGAAGGGAGCTGCCTTTTTCAAAAAAAATGTTCAAGCTGTCGATAGCTTATGATAAATTGAGATAATTGGGGTGAACAACAGTAGAAAGTGAAAATACAAGAAAAAGAAAAGAAAACACATAATTTAATATTATAATGTATATTTCCCTTTTAATTGATTTATTTATCTATATAATTATTGTTATTCGATTTATACCCATACAAATACTTTACAATGACTTTTTTTACACTAAATGATTTTCATGGGAGTAATAATTTACTTAATTTTTTCCTCTATATTAACATAAAAAATATGTCAAAATATTATTTTACCATTTGTTAGGGTTCGATTAATACTTGAGGATCTTGGTTTAAACAAAGAATCGGTAGCAACTCGACGTCAACCCAAATATTGTCCCTATCTCCTTAAATGAGTTTTAATTATTTGAAGGGGACACAGGCAATCGCGTACCTCAGTTACTAGAGAGATAGATTATATAATAAAGTAAAACTATTGTTTTATGTCAAAGACAAATTAAAGATATATTTTAAATGTTCAGTAAATATAAATTATATGTAATGTACAATACATCTGACCTACAAAAAATTGGTATTGTATTAGTTCTATGGAATTTTTCATTTAAAACGCTGTTTTTCTTATCGTACCTTTTAAATTCTTATACGAATATTAAATTAAAGGTTAAAAAGATCTTTGTGATATTTATCTCATGCATAGCCCAAAGAATAATGTTGACAGGTTATTTTAAACATAAAACATAGTAAGAGTTTATTATTAATAAATAATACTAAATTTAAATGAACTTAAAGCAATAATAATAATAATAATAAATTCAATTAATGTATGGATGTAGGGATTACACATTTTTATAATTATAGAATGTTTGATTAGTTAGCGAGTATCATTTATGAATTTATCGAATTGTGCATTTAATTCACATCTATTTTCAATGTCGCCAAAAATTGTTCCATTTAAATCTGACTTTAATTTTAATACTTTCAACAATACATCAACGAAATTGTAATTTGTTATATCTACAAAATATAACAGTATAAAGGAAAAAATAGAAAATCTTATATAATTTGTTTAATAATTACTTTCTTCTGCAATACTTGTATTCATATCATCCTTAGCTATATCGAAATTTTCGTAAATCTCCTAAAGATTGAAAAATAAATTATTGTAATATGATTAAGTAAAAGAGCATATTTAACAACGAAATATATACTGCGTGTTGTGTTTTGAGTAGTGATAAGTTTTACGATTGTAATATAGCAATAGTACCAGTTTACACCCGGCCCAGATAACATGTAACAAACGCGCGAGTGCCCAATAAAAATGTAATTTTCATCAATAAGGTTTTTTCGTAAAAATAATTGCGGTGTTGATTATTTCCTTAAGTAAACCCGCAAAACACTGCGTTTTAATTATAAAAAAATCCAGTGAAATAGTTGGGACCAATATGGATGATATCTATCGGTGATTAACATCAATATCACAAAAAAATTGTATATATTTATAGCTTTATATTTGCTATGTTTAAAATTTCACTCAAATATTAAAGTAATTTTTACAAAAATTTCAAATTATTTTATTTTAATGTCCGATTTCTAATAATAAAACAATCGTCAAACAAAAATTTTTTTAATATTTTGATACACTTCAAAATCTAAATTTTTAAAAGTTGTTAGAATTTTCGGAACAATTTCAAATATTAAGTTGAAAAAAAATATTTACACTAGCGAGATTTTTCATTCAAACTTGTATTTAGATTTTTCATTAGATTTTCATAAAAAGTAAACCAAAAGATAACTTTTAGTCATTTTTATTGACCATATAAATTTTATTTAGATCAGTGTTTGATACAAAGTAGTTTTTTGGCTTTTTGGTTTCTTTTAAGTACGTGATTTTCTTAATTTATGAATCATAAATTATTTTTAGCTTCGATACAAAGCCGAGAAAGTATTAACTTTACTATGATGTGTTTTTTTTTTTTGTGTCTGTTGCCAATTTTTCCGATTTTGATGAACAATATGTCAAAAGATCACAAATCGTATCTAGTCAAAGACATTATCCTCAAAAATTAAAAAAATTCCCTCTTTCCTTTGAGAGCTGAAAAAAAGTGGCAACAGACATAAAAAAAAAAAAAACACATCATAGTAAAATTAATACCTTCTCCGCTTCGCATCGAAGCTAAAAACTAAAAAAACACGCTTTTAAAGCACATTGAACTAAAAAGTTAAAAATAATTTTTAAAATAAGTTTAAAATAATTATGAACAAAAAATACTAGTATTATTGTGATAAAAGCGTCGGGCGCTCAATATACGAAAAATATGGCACAAAGCACCCACGCTTTTATCATAATAATACTAGTGTTTTTTGTTCATAATTATTTTAAACTTATTTTAAAAATTATTTTTAACTTTTTAGTTCGATGTGCTTTAAAAGCGTGTTTTTTTAGTTTTTTGCTTCGATGCGAAGCGGAGAAGGTATTAATTTTACTATGATGTGTTTTTTTTTTTTTTTATGTCTGTTGCCACTTTTTCTCAGCTCTCACTGGACCGATTTCTTTCAAAAATACGTCAAAAGATCACAAATCGTATCTAGTTGAAGACATTACCCTTAAAAATTGAAAAAAATTCCCTCGTTCCCCGCAAATGGGGGAAATAT